TTGTACGACATCCAGACCAAGCAGGTTTCGTTTGCGTGTCCGCTTCAGGCGCTTCATTGCGGCAACGAGTCCGCGGCGACCGCGTCCGTCGCCCGCCCTGTCCTTGACAACATCAGCCTCAGCCTCCTCGAACCGCACACGATCCTCATTTTATTTATCAGCGGGTTCAGCATCCTCGGGTACGTCCTTCCGATGCTTTGAGCCGTTTTCATGAAGGACCGCTTGAATAGGTGCATGTTTATCATTGGGACGTACTGGCTGTACCCGTCGCTGCGATCGAAGCGCTTGCTGTCGCTGCTATTCTGGCTCAGCTGGTGCAACCTCATCTACAACTCGCTCGTCTGGCTTGGCAGCGTCTGGCAGTACTCGGACGTGTCCCTTGGCTGCTCCGTTCAACTGGTCGTCCAGCAGTTTGCCGGCGTCGGCATACTCCTGCTCAGTGCCGTGATCAGCATCGAGTTGCTCCGAGCCGTGTCGGGATGGCAAGCGCAAACGCCAGACCACTCGGGCTGGTACCACGCCGTCGTGTGGACGATGTGCACAATCTGTGCGTGCGTGACGATTTGGACTGGCGTCCTCGGTTACGTCCCCGACACCAACTACGGCCCTGCCATGTACGTTGGGAAACGTTGTGTTGCCGGCGATAAGCAACTGCCGATGGGGGTTGATGCACGGAGTGTAGGGCGTGCTGGACAAACCATACGCCGCTGTGGGGTCGCATTGCGTTCTTTTACCTCCCCGTGCTCGTGATCCTCGTTCTGAGTTTGCATGCGCTCCAAGTCGCCATCCATCGTCTCCACAGCACCAACTTGATTCAGACCGAGTCGGGACGACGCAGCTCCCAGCTTCTCGTGTCGTACGTGATTGTGTTCGGCATCACTTCGGTCGCACCAGCACGTACGTGTCGCGGTCTCTCGATCCGTGTGCTCATGGACTCACTGGGCGTTTGCTAGTGGTCGGGCTCGCCGGTCTGTATGTCAACTTGCCCGAACTTGTCGTGTACACGAGCGAAGTGTGCTTTTACGCACAGGGTTTCCTCCACTGCTTTGTGTGGGCATGTAGTCCGTCCTTTCAACAAGCCTACACGCAGCGATACTACGCGCTTGGCGAGCATGAAGTCGAGGGTCTTGTCGCGGAATAGTTGCCGCGACGGAAAATGTGGTTCGCGCGTACTTTCAAGGAAGACGGAAGGCTCAGAAAAATATAGAAGACACCGAATCTCGCAAGAATATTCACATAATCGTTCAATTCTTTGATACGACACGCTATTTTCATTGGCCAAGAAATCGTTCGTTTTGGTATTGTCGTGACTTTTTCGGTGACTTTTTCGCACGGATCACGTGAAAGTGATACATTTCATCATACACTATATAAAACTGACACTAAATAGGAACTTCACGTTGCCATGATCATCGCAAAACGGTGGCCTTGGATCCGATCGAGGACGCATCGATCGATTGATGGTTACGTTCAAGGAGAAGCTCGCGCACAACTTGGTGCCAGAGTGGGAAGAGCATTACGTCAACTACGCGGACCTAAAGTACCATGTGAAGCAGATTCAACGGCGCAAGAGCTTTCTTGATATGACGTCGGGCGACTACACCGAGACGTGCGATACGGAAAAGACACGCCTTATCAAGACATCCAAGCCGACACATTTCGAAGAAGAGTTCCACAACGAGTGCGAAAAGGTCGAGTCGTGGTATTGTGCACAGCTGGAAGAGTTCCAAAAGCAGTATGCGCTCTTGAAGGCACAGTACGCAGACGCATGTGCGACCCAAGCGCCGTTGCTGGTGTCCCAGGAAGACTTTGACGAGTCGCCAGGTCGTCCAGTACCACGTCCTTCTCGCATAACTTCTGTGGTTTTTAGAATCGGAAGCATTCGCGCTGGAGCGGCATTCCATCAAACAATCGTTTGTCGAGCTGTACAAGGTGCTGCGGATGTTGCAGAACTTTGCCCTGTTGAACTACACGGCGCTGCGAAAAGTGCTTAAGAAGCACAAGAAGAAGTGCGGCGACAGGTATCAAAAAGCCCACAGGTCTCTCAACGACTCGTTGCACGACTACGCGTTCAGCCATGCCCTGCCCGTGAAGGAAGCAATCCTCAACTTGGAGCACTACTTCACCACGACGTTCCACGAAAACGACCGCGTCCTCGCGCTCGCCGAACTCGACGACTGGAAGGACTCAACTCTGAACTGGCAGAATGTGTACACTGGGCTCAAGATGGGTATCTGCATCGTGCTGGCCTTGTGGCTGCTCTGGGATGACGTGGTGGTCGTGGGCTTGCAAGGTCAAACAAACCCGACCGTGATTCGCTTGTAAGGGCTGCTTCATGCCGTGGCTTTGTGTCATGGCTCGTGGTTGCGCAGGATGCAAACCTCGGCGTATCCGTTCTACCGAGGAATCGCGCTCTTTCTCTTCTTTTTGTGGCTATGGGGCGGGACGCTGTACACGTGGCAGGCTGCCCGCATCAACTACCGGTGCGGCCAATGCGTCCGTTCAATTGGTGGCGCATTGATCGTGTTGTGGTAGATACATCTGCGAGCTGGACCCGCATGCGACCCAAGACTTTTCCCAAGTATTTGACGACGCCAGTCACTTGAGCATGCTATACCTATTCAACTTCATCCTGTACGTTCAGATTCAAAACCACGTACGTTGGCAACGGGACGGAGGATGCCCACGTTGCTTACACTCTCTAGTCGCTGCCAGAATACGTCCCGAAGGGATACCTCCCGCTCGTCCTGGCACTCTACTTCGTCGTCTTCTTCTTCTCCAAAGACTGGGGCCACCAGCGTCGATTGGCACGGGTGCGTCCATGCAATGGAGAGAGGGGGTATTGATGGTTCGCTCATGGGATGGGTGGATTGCATGGCAGGTTCTGCGAGATATTGTGCTACTGCCGGTCTTCCCCGTCACGTTTATGCATACATTTGTGTGCAACTACCTGACGAGCGCTGCCAAGATAAACCAGGTGAGTCCCACCTTTGTCGTTCGCAAGTTATCGTGACATCCGCTCGTTGTCTCTGCAGGATTTTGCGTGGTCGATCTGTTTTTTCGCGACAGGCGAATTCCTTGAGCCGACGTCGACTCCTCCGCATGCCTCGGCATGCTCGACCAATTTCTATTACGCCCGCGTGGCGGTGCCGCTGATCTCGGCGCTTCCACTGGTATGACGATCTCTTCGGCCATCCATGTTTATGTGCGTGGCAGTGGTGGCGATGCGTGCAGAGTCTGCGCCGTGTACACGAGATGAAAGCATGGTTCCCCGGCCTCTTGAACGCTATCAAGTACGCCTTGTCCCAGGTGGTCGTTCTCTTTGGGCTCTTCCACTCGTTCTATTCTCCAGTCCAGCCCAGCAACGTCGTCCAGGTGCGAATGCGTTTTCACGATCTCTTGAGCTGACATATTTTGGACGTGGTGGCGCTCAAGATTATCTGGGTGGTGCTATTTGTCGTGAGCTCTATGTACAGCTGGATATGGGACGTCGTGATGGACTGGGGCCTCGGACGACCTCAATTCAAGTTTCTTGGCGATGGCCACATGTACTCGCGGCGGTGGGTGTACTATGGTGCGTCCAACAACGGTTGAAGGCCTTTTGTATTGACGCAACTACGTAGCGGCAATCGGGGTCGACTTTGTCTTATGCTTTTCGTGGACACTGGCGCTGATCCCGCCGACAAAAGAGTACTCGTTCATGGGGTTCCTCCTCTACCTACAGCCGATCACGATGTTTATGGAGCCGATCCGCCGGTCCATGTGGAGCTGCTTTGCCATGGAAAACGAACACTTGCGCAACACGCTCGGGTTTCGAAAGGAGCGATTCATTCCACTGCACTTTGAACGCAAAAAGCCTGTCAGGAAAACCGACAAACAAGACGACAAGCAGTATGCGTACAAAGTCGTGGCGCTCGCTATCGTCGTGGCGGCACTGAGCGCGTCTGCGATCTTTCTCGGCAACTAACCACAGCCCTGTGTGATGAAATGGCAATGAAGACACGCGCGCGATCGGTATATGCCCAGCCTTGTCCATGCCCTCAGCGGCATGCAAGGCGGGGGGATACATTTCCCGCCACCAACCAAAGTCTTCTCTTCACTAAATTCCTTGCTCTCCTCGGAGCTCGACGTTGATTCAAACCGACTCCTTTCATGTCGCGTTGCTACGACACGCACAAACAACGAGCCATGCGAAACCTGAGCGAGGGGACCACAAGACCGTGTGGTTCTGGCGGTAGCGACTTCGTCAAGGTCGTGCAGGTCGGACGTGGATGGTCCTGATCAAGTAGCGCCTGTTCGTAGCGGATTGCCAACCCACGATCCATCAAGACAGACACGAAAGAGTGTGTACAAATAGAAAGGGGGATGTTGATAGTTATGGGGCGTCTTCGATGACCGTGATGGCTCCAAAGCTGAGGCTCACGACAAGACCAATGATGGCAACGATCAGGACTTTGTTCATGCGCTTCTTCCGCCTCGTCTCCTCCGTGTGCTCGTTCGGGTCGGCGACACCAACACCGCGCTCGTAGTGCAACGGGATGAACTGCTCCTTTCGAAACCCCATCGTGTTGCGCAGGTGTTCATTCTCGACTGTAAAGAAGCTCCACATCGTCCGGCGCATCGGCTCGAGCAGCATCGAGAACGGATGGATGTACACGAAGAAGCTGTGGTTGAGCGCTTGTTCGGCCGACGGCGGGATCAGCGTCAGCACCCACGCGTAACACAGGAAAAAGTTGACCACGATTGCCACTACAAAGCTGGATGAGGCCAACGCTCCCGACATCGACGAGGACAAACCATAGTACATCGACCGCCGGCGATACATATGCCGCTCCGCGAGGAACTTGTGCTGCGGGCGACCGAGGCCCCAGTCCATCGTGAGGTCCCAGAACCAGAGCACGAACGAGAACACGATGAAAGCCGCGATCCAGACTTGCTGGAGCGGCGTGATGTCTTCGGTTGGCTTGGTCGGGTTGTGAAACGGATGAAAGACGCCGTACAGGACAACGATTTGAGCGAGAGCAAACTTGAACACGTTGCCGATACCAGGCCACCACACCTTCATATCGTAGATGCGGCGCAAGCTTTGGAGGAATCGAAACCACTAAACATGCGACACAATACGTCGAATGAGGCCATCATACGTCTACAGTGGCTCTCCATGACGTACCAGCGGCAGCGCGCACAGCAGAGGCACCACGACCTTGGCGTAGTAAAAGTTTTTGTGGCACTTGGACGGGATGATGGACTGCATCGTGTGGTTGTGGAGGTACCCGGCCATGCCTTCGGTCGGCTTGAGGAGATCCAAGTCGTCTGTCTCGAGGAATTCGCCCGAGAAGAAGAAGCAAAAGCACCACGCAATGTCTTGGTTCATCCGTTGCATGCTCAGCATGTAGTTGCCGAGGAACGTGTGGAAAAACGTAACAGGGAAGAACGGCGCGCCCATGATCTTGCCAATCGCCTTGACAAACCCGACCTTGCGCCGCCACTCGCGAAACACGTAAAAGTAGATCATGTACACAAACAGAAAGAGCAAGACGTAGCCGCGGTGCGCGACGCGGTCTTCAGGAAATTCGCCATTGCACACCTTGTAGTACACGAGCATGTTGATGAGGTATACGATGCTAATGTGGCCCGCGTCGTGAAACACTTGATCGTAGTCCTTGGTGTTGCGCGGCTCGAGGTCCATGATGTACATGTAGTTGATGCGGGCCGACCGCCACACGTACATGGAGATGCCCATGAGCCAGTTGAAGAATATCACGCACCCGAGGCCGCGGTAGACCGGAAACCCCTTGGTCAAGAGCAGCCGGAGGTGGTTCTCGTCCCGTTGGATGGATGGAATAATGCCGACGTCCCAGAGCACCCACAGACCGAGCATGAGAAGCATTCCAAACTTCATCCCAATATACGCCTGCGAAAAGTCAACGTGCTCGTCCTTGCGCGCCATCAGTGCTGCCATCGCGATCGGGCGATTGCCGTCGTAGAACGTTCGACAGAACCACGTTTCGAGCCGCGCGAGTTCGTCTTTGGCCTGGATGGCTTTCGAAAACGCACACGTCTCGAGCTTCTCGGCAAAGACATACCTGCCCAGCACCGGATCGACGGTGATTGCCTTGTCATCACGAGGATGGTGTCGTACCGAATAGACTCTTGCGACTTGCACTTCTTAGCATGGGACTTTAGGATCTTGGTCAGACCAGTGTAGTTCAGTAGCGCGTAGTTCTGGAGCATGTTCAACAGCCGATGGAGCTCCATGCACGCGGACGTCATGCTGAGCTGCGTGGCTTCGTTCATGTTGGCATGGTACTGCTTTTGCAGAATGTCGAGTTGCTGCTTGTACTCGTCCGCGTGCGCGACGTAAAACTTTTCGACCTTGTCGTACTCTTTGATGAATGCCTTCTCAAACGCTTGAGACGTCGCAGAGTTGGCTCCGACGAGGAACTGGAGCTCCACGACCTTCTCAAGCTGCTGCTCCAGATCAAACCCTGTCGAGTCTTCGCGGATCGCGTTCACGGCGAACTTGAGCGCGTCGTAGTCGATGTAGAACTCGCGCCATTCCGTGAATGTGTTGGCTTGAAGCTTGGCCTTGAACTTGATCATGACAACTTGGCCACGGCGGCGAGGGACGTGTCAGCGGCGCCGATCTCACGCAGGTCAAAAGAGGAATGGCCGTGCCACTCCAAAGATAGATCTCGCTCGACCGCCAACCTGCCCTCGCCATGTTGGCGAAACCGACAGCCGTGTGCGACAAAAATCCGGATACTCTTAACCGGTATTCTCACGACCACCATGTGCCGAGAGTTGGGTCGAATGTGCCATCGCAGGAAATGATGGCGGTGCTGCTGCATGTATGGTAATTCTATCGGCATGAGGGTTGTTCTGACTAGTTGGAAGAACGGGACATGTTCGGTTAAGGTGAGCTAGCGGTGGGGCGAAGTGGCAGGGAGTTAGCGCATTGCATTCCAGTTGACAGTAACAGGTATGATGCGCTTGTCGAGGACGATGGAGCAAAGGAACAACAGCCACAAGAAGCATGCGGCCTATTAACACCCATGGTTTATTCCAATGCTTCAATTTCGCCTTCAGGTTCGTCGATTTGGCCGAGTTCCCATCGCAAATCTGGCAAGTGGTCTCCACGCTTGGCGGCCTTGCGCGAGTTGTCCGGGTTTGACAACGTAATCACGCCAAGGAAAACAGGGACAAGCGCCAACGTGCCGACCAAGGACCAGAACGCACGCGAAGTCGAGATATGTGGCGAGTCGAAGTCTAGCATCAATTCAGGCGCGACACTGTCGGACCACACGAGATCGCGGTTCAACGGGATAGGCTTGCCGGACGGGACAGGTAGACGGGCGTAAGGAGGCGGAGGGGGGGCATGGTGGTGGCCACCTCGAAGGGCAATGGCTCGCGACGCCACGGAGCTGCTGCGGAGGACCGCGGATAGGCTGCGGGCACTCATGCTGTCTTCACAAACTGCCAACCCGACGCCACACAACACCACATAAACTCGGCTCTTTGATTGGTCGACGTCGGGAATATACATGAATTTAAGCCAATCATATTCATTAAGCAGCCTCTATAACTAAATATTATTCAACCACCGAGAGGTACATCAGCCAAACCGAAATCGATTAGCATTCAAAATCGCAAATAAATTTGATAAAAAATATATCCTCCAATCACAAGAATGTCAAAAAGCAATGAAATCTACGAGTAGTCAGGACAGATCGACGACACAAGAACCTTGCGTTGGCGATCGACGTCGAAGAAGTACTTGCCAGGAGAACGCTGCCGCCGATACGTGGCCGCAGCATTGGCGCACGACGCGAACTGGTGCTTGTAGTCGCCTGGAAAGTGGAAGAAGATTGGCTCGATAAGGTTCCATGCGAATTGAGATGGAGTGCCGTCGTGAAAGTACTTGGAGGAACACCCCTGCGACGCACACCCGCCATATTCGTTGAAGTCACCTACATCGCTGGGTTAGACGGCGCCATTCCAGGTTTGCGTCGAGCTAGTTACACCTGGCCCGATGAGGTACGAAATCACAAAGAAGATCTCAGCCGCGGTGTCGATCTTGACATTGATCTCGGGCGCCGTCAAGTACGCGATTTGAAACAAGATCTGGTCCCCTTCAAAGAGAAACGTCTGGTGCTGTCGGAATTCTTCCTCTTGAGCGATGCGGATCGCCGTCACGCGGCGGAGAAAGGCTCGGAGGCTTTGGACGTCGCCTGTGATGCCACGGCATCAATAGAATCAACAGACGAGACGCTTGAGCACTGTACCGAGAATGCCACCCGACCCGAGGCTCCAATTCGGCCCCGCCACAAGCGTGTTCGACGCGGTCTTGGCAGCAATCGCGTTGCACATGTAGTGGCCTCCCACGAGCCGTGGCGTCTGGTTTGGCTCGAGCCGGATGTTCCATGCCTTGGCGCGGAGCTTGTAGCCATACATGCCGTCGTTGTTAAACGAGTCGCCGCACGTGGGTTCGCCGTTGAAGATTAACCCACGCTCGCCTTGCGTGTGCTTTAGGAAGAGGTCGGTCAGCTTTTGGGTGCTCGATTGCACGATCACGTCCCACGCGTCGGTGAACAGGACCAAGTCGTCGTCGTCCAAGTCCGAGTTCTTCTCGACGTAGTGTTCCAGCCAGTGGAGCTTTTTCTGCTGGCCGTACCGATTGTTGTTGTCTTGGTTTCCGTGGCACGCTTCGCCACAGGTCGACCCGTCAAAGAAAGTCGAGCTGTAGTTCCAAGCGAGGACCTCAAGAACTGCATCGTCCTGAAAGATCGACGACGCTAGCAGGCAAATCCCGCCGTGGGGGTTGTCAGCAAGCGTGACAAACCGAATGTTCTTTGGCTTGAACGGAGTGGACGCGCCGGAAGCCGACTGTCGAAGGCGAGGCTCAACGGGTGGTTGTGTCGATTCAACTGGAGGTGGGGAGGGCGGGGATGTCGACGTTGGTAGCGTTGAAATCGGCGCTGGCGTGGTTGGGAATTCAATTGTGGTGGCGTTGCTGCTGGTGATGGAAGAGTTGTCTGAAACGATATAGCTCGTGCCTGCAACGGCGGCGCTGACTTGAATGCTGTCTTTGGGCTTGACAGGGTGCAGGATCTGCTCATGCAAGACCACGTTCGAATCGAGACACATGAGGCCAACACCAACGCAGACGCAGACCGCGAGTGCCTTGACATAGCGAGGAATGGATGTTGAACTCGCGGGAACGGTCGAGGCAAGCCCATCGGCCGCAGTCAGTGGCACGACGGCCGCGTCAGTCTCACGCATCGTCGAAACCAAGCGTTGTGTTTTTTTTTTTGCTTAGATCGTAACCGATTCGTGTCAGAGTCGTCGTTGGCTGGAAAAGGCACGTCGACGCTCCCAGCGCTTGTCCCCACGCGACGACCCCGCACACCACCGATTTGCCACTCTCGTATGTACAACCACATTACGTGCCCGTACCCATTTGGGCCAGAAAAAGTGGATCCAGCGGGCTGTCACGGAAAACGTGGACGACTTCGCGCCCGCCGTGCGAATGTCAACACGGACATCGCCGCCCCGTCGACTCGACCACCCAACGCCAGTTGACCAAGTACGAAAACACGGACTTTGAGAGCGACGAATTGTGTCTCAACAACATCAAGGGGCCACACGATTTTATAAATTCGCCCAAGGACACGTGAAGTGGCTTGCAACCGGCAAAGATCCAGCTGGTGGTGCATCCAAACAAAGGTCGGGAAGCGGTACTACCTGGTCAAAGTACGTCGCCGTTCGGAGTTGATTGCTGACAAAGCACATCATCCACGCGCAATTCATCGACAGGAAAACATCGTTGGTGTCATGTTGATGTCTAGAGTGGATCGCATCCCGTTTGGCTTGCCTACAGTCACGAACAGAGCGTGCGATGCGAACAAGTGCCATATTCGATCGAGTATTTCCCAGCAAATCGTGGACGCCGTGTAGTAAAATATGAGTGGAATCAGGCAAAACAACCGTATGTGGAGTCGGCCCACGACTTCAGGGTGACCTGATCTTGCTCACACTCCACATGTCGGGGTGACCGTGTAATGCAATTGCACAATCGCAACAAATCATGAGCGTGAATGATGAAGTGGTACACTTGAGGTGAACATGACAGGCAACAACCGACAAAAATAGGCGCGTCCATTGGAAGACCGACAACATCACATGCATCGATTGGCCAAAAGCATTGGAAGTGAAATCAGTGGATGTCGGACATTAGCCCTTCTCCTTTACAAAGTACAGCGTTGGATACAGTGAACAACAGATTTTAAGCCACACCGAAGTTTCAACATTACGATGGAGATATATATCTAGTCAAATGCAAGAAACATGATGAATGAACCTCATTAGGGGTGTCGGCGTTTTCCGGGGTTCACTGTAGTGTTGTGTGCACACCCAATTTTTACTAACTTCAATCAAACATCTCTTTATATTACGTAATCTAACCATCTCTCGAACTTTCCAGAAGCATCATATTTCATAGGTAGTTATTCACAGGTAAATCGAAAA